TATATAATAATGTATATATACTTCTATGAAACAGTGTGTCCCACAACTCACCCTGATGGGACACAATGGTAAACTCAACAACTTACCTTGATGGGACACAATGGTAAACTCAACAACTTACCTTGATGGGACACAATGGTAAACTCCACAACTCACCCAGATGGGACAAAATGGTAAACTCCACAACTCACCCTGATGGGACAAAATGGTAAACTCCACTCCGTCCACGCTCACGTCCAGAGGGTCAAGGTCGTAGCTGCCCACTGACCCTGAGTGGTCGCGCTGGAGCGAGCCCATGGACACCCGGCGAGGTCGCGCCGCCCCGCCCCCTGACCCCTGGGGCGGCGGCCATGACAGTTGGTCCCTGGAGGTGGTGGGTAGCCAGGACAGACTGTTGCCCGACAGGTGGAGCGTGACCAGGGACGGTGCAGACCACACTTCTGGCGGGACCTCGCTCACACGGTTCACAGACACGTCCAGGAACTTGAGCTGCGGCAGCTGGAACAGGAAGCGGGGCAGGGTTCGGATCTTGTTCTCGTTGAGGTGCACCTCCTCCAGCGACACACACAGGACATTGACCTCCGAGGGGATCTCGCCGATCTGGTTCCTGGACGCCCGCAGCAGCACCAGGGACGGCAGCTCTAGCAGGACGGCGGGGAACACCTCGAAGCTGTTGCGGGAAATGTCCACTTTTGTGACGGCGCACAGCGAGATGGCGGGCAGGACCCCGGCGGTCAGTGCGGGGTTGTGTAACACACACGCCTGGCTCACACAGCGCGCGTCCATCGCGCTCAGCACACCCAGACCCTCCCAGCCGATGGACACAGGCGTCGTCGGGAACTTGGACCGGAGCTCGGGGTCCAGGGAGGAGCAGCGGTCAAGCGTGTCGCTGACCGCGTGGCTCAGTCGATAGGCCAGCCTTCTCATCTCCGTCTTGTTGATGCTGTGGTTGAGGTCGCGGCTCGACTTGTGGGTCAAGAGTAGCCACTTGGCCTCCGCATTCTGGACAAAAGT